AGTCTTCTGAACACCTTGAGCAGCAATCTTCGTATGTTTGGCATGCGATTCGCCCCTGCAAAATGTAAGATGCTGCTACAGGACTGGACCCCGTCAATCCCTAACTTAGTGATAGGGAGTGAAGTGATAGAACATGTTGACCACTTCACCTACTTGGGAAGTTGTATTAGCACCAACGGACTGATTGGCGATGAAATCTCAGCACGGATCCGAAAAGCTCGAGCTGCTTTCGCTGACTTACACCATCTCTGGCGTAGGCGTGACATCCGGTTATCAACCAAGGGACGTGTGTACTGCTCATCAGTTCGCTCCGTCCTTCTCTATGGCTCTGAAACATGGCCAATACGCGTTGAAGACATGAAAAGGTTGACTGCTTTCGATCATAGATGTCTGCGATCTCTGTCTCACGTTAGGTGGTTTCACAAGATAAGTAATGTTGACGTTAGGCGTAGAGTGTTGGGCAAAGAGGGAAAATCAATCGACGAGGCTATAAAGTTACATCGATTGAGATGGCTAGGTCACGTGCTGCGCATGCCTAACCACCGCCTCCCCCGACGGGCATTGCTAGCTGATATAGGTTCAGGTTGGAAAAGAGCCAGTGGTGGCCAAACAAAAACATGGCATCAATCCATGAAATCCTTGACAGTTAAACTGAGTCAGGTAGAGAGATGCAGACTCCCGGGTTGGGGCCCTCGGGACTCTAGGAATCAATGGCTGGAGACAGTAGGTGACATGGCTCAAAATTGTTGTCAATGGCCAGCACAGATGTATTCAGTCTTTGTAATCTTTCATATTTCTTTCTACCATTACCCATTCTGTTTCGCTCTTATACCTGTCAAACTCTATTGATTCTCTTCACTCATCTTCTTGTCTACCTCTGTGTGCTATTTGGAAGGTGGCAACTCGAACTGGTGCACTTCGGTGCCAAGTTCTATGTTGAATCCAGACAGACAGATGATCTTATCAACTTCAGAACTTGATCACATCTTCAAGAACGGATGTTTGAAGTTTTTCATATGGTTAACAGTAACAGAAGTTCATCTGGTGAATACTGTGTGCTACTGTTAAGATTAGACCTTTCTAAAGTCATTTGTTTTGATCACTAAAAGGTAATGTCAGTCATGAATACTGATTATCTTTAGAAGTGTTTCGTACAGTCTCAACATCAAATACACTAATGTTTCATATTTAATGTAATATCCCTTAAAGGCGTATTATCACCTAGACAAAAATATTTTTCCATCTAAACTCACCTTAAGAGATCTTGCTTACTGATACGTGGAAAGAGGATCCTGATTTCCTGTGACATACTGTGTTAGGCATATTAAAACAGCTTTCATATGTGTTGAAATCTAAGCATATCCCTCAATTTCTCACACAGATAAACTCAGTACTATATGGAACCGAAATTACCTTTGAGTTAGAAAATGAATAAGGTGAAATGGCCATCCTAGACTGTAAAATAAAATGAAAACAAGATAGTGGGTTAGATACTAGCATTTATAGGAAATCGACACACTCTAATAAACACTTAGACTTTATATCATGCCATCCAGAATCGGTGAAGATAAGTTTAGTTAAATGTCTATACAGTTGGGTCAGGAGCCTAATTAGTAAGCCAGAAGAAAATAAATAATGAAGGCAATTAAGAAAGAAAATATTACTAGAATTTATTCAAAAATGTGTAAAGACCTTCAAGAAAAATAACGGTAGTAGTGAAAATCATAAAAGTAACATAAATAATATAGAATTCAAAGCCTCGGTAGTACTGTGTTGAGAGCTGGCTCCAAGCCAACAATTGTAGGCAGCAATTTACGTCAGTATTACGTCCCGAATCAAGGTCATGAGAAAAACAATAATAAAGCTTAACCTTGAGGAACTCACCAACCAATCACAGCAGACTTAATGGGATTTGCAGATATATGGCTTAATTTTCTAAAAATCGGTCACAAGCAGTACAGAATAACCTTCAACAAGAAAACAACCAATCAGAAGACGTTGCTTCTCCGCTGACAATAATGTACACAAAAATCTATATATACCTTTTGATTTTCTCAATAAATAACCTGTTGCCTGACCCTTGTGTTTTGTCTTTACAGTACTACCAGGTAAAGAAGGGACATCAAAGACCCTACTCGAGATTCTTGATGAAGCTTGAATTAGGGTGGCATCCGAACCAACCAACCCTCTGAGAGGTAAACTTTGTCGGTTTAAAGACCCGACATATCCGTTTAGAGAAAATAATATAATTTACCAAAGACCATGCAATGACTGTGAAATCAATTACATAGATCAAACGAGTTGATTGGAGTCATTTAGATTATCGGAACATTTGGATTTATCTATAGCTAGAACGCTCAACCCTAATAAGTTAAAAACCTAGGAAAAACTCAAGCGTTGCAATGCATTCAGCTGCATGTAATCATACAACAAATTGGGATAGGGTAATATTATTAAAGAGTAATATAGTTAGGTAGAGAGAGAGTGGTTAATTACCGATTCTTTATTCATCGAATCAACACCAAACTGGTGCAGTCAAAATGACTCAATACCCATAACGTATATGTATCGAAAATTTCAATAAACAACAAAGGAGGAGAGAGGAAAATATATTTTAGTCAAATTATGAAGTCATGTGAATAAATTGATGTGATAATGATGAATAAATTGTTCTGGAAACGTCGTCCAGTTATTAATAGTGCATCACTGTGTGTTATATCAAATTTGCTAGACGTTCTCTTTAAAGTACAGCTTACATTTAAAGTAATTTTACTTCTTACAAGTTATTATGTTGCATGAGTACTATTGGTTCATAAAAACTTTTTTTGTTTTATTTCTTTTTCTTTCAGCGAAGAAGAGGAAAGCTTTGAATTCTCAAAGTGAACCTGAAATAAGCTGTGAAAATGAAGACTGTGAATCGAAAGAAGTAGAAGTTTATAACAGTCGTCTTGACAATGAAGAGGATGAAACCATCCATCTAGAGGATAACAATTCTTCTTCAAGTGAATGCACACTGGAAGGAAAAGATGTCTCTGATAATAATGGTGAACAAGTCCAGGAATTCGAAATATTCGGCAAATGCAGAAAACGTCTTGGAATGAATCGAGAGTTATTCAGGGATACAGATATAAAACTTTTAGTTGGTCAAATAACTACATCCTCATCTTCTGATAGACATCGAGGTTTTCGCTTCCGGACATGTGCACCTTGTATCTTAGGTTATCACGCTACTCTGAGTGGACATGCTGGATTGAAGCCATGTGGAATAACTTGCGCTAAATCTCCAGATTCATATGAAGATATCCTACTTGTCAGTGTGGCTGGTCAAAATAGTGAAGCTAATACACTGGGTTGTGATATTCGACTTTGGAATTTGCCTTTACCTGATACTTCCATACTTCGTAAGTAAATGCTGCTAAAGTGCAGTTGCTTCTGAGATTATCTTCATGAGATTTACAGGCTTCTAAATAGTATAATGAAATATTATTATTATGAGGTTGAAAAATATCGCCTCACTTTGCAACAGAGTAAAAGGCAAGTCATATAAATTCGAAGGTTTGTGCAGTGAACAATCAAATGAAGATGAGTAAAGAGGAAAGAAAGAAGTTTCAAAGCAGTTAGCTTCCCATATTTCAGAAAAGAGTGAAAATTTAGTGAATCTGCATCTCTGGAATCCACTGTGAAATGTATTGCACAGGATTTCACTTTATTGTTTCTATTTTCCTATAATCTCTAGCATTAAACGTACCCATTTGCCAATAACAATGATAGATTTTGAAGACTGACCATCTTTCATCCTTTTAACAAAACAATTTCTGCTTTTAGCACGAGCAGCTTATGAATGAATAATTTTAGTCAATTAGTTAACGTAGGATTCTCTGACTTACTTCAACAACATGAACTAGCAGAAACTGTGTGGCGGAGCACTCTCTGTATGGTAATCTTCATAAACTCAGATTTAAATGCTTTTTTTTCAAATAATTTCAATCAATAATCTAAAATCTAACTTTATTTACTTGCAAGTGGATGCTATCACTTTGTGGTAATTATGAACACTTAGTTATGTTTAATTATTATTCCTCGTTGAGTCATATGAAAAAGAGAAGACGTTCAGCGAAGAGACTCTTTTCGGCGAATCCACTCACATAGCTGTACAATCGCATTTATATATAATTATTTGTGTGTGTGTATATATATGAGGTTTGTCCAGTTTAGATAATTGATCAGGTAATACAGGAATGATCTAATATAGAAACAGGGTTAATCAGACAGCAACTAAAGTATGATTGAGTTAGCAAGTTAGATAACAATATAATTTCAAGTATTGGTTTTTGTAGGGATTTTGTTTGAATGCATGGAGGATTTAATCATGAGCTGACATCAGTTAGAGAACCATTGGAAAACCTGGGAGTACTGGACAGCTGTTTCGTCCTAGTTTGGGACTCCTCAGCAGTACGCACCCACCTTGTAACCAGACGGTCCTGGGTTCGAATCCCGGTGGGTGCGTACTGCTGAGGAGTCCCAAACTAGGACGAAACAGCTGTCCAGTACTCCCAGGTTTTCCAATGGTTCTCTAACTGATGTCAGCTCATGATTAAATCCTCCATGCATTCAAACAATATAATTGACTAAAAATTTTCAACTTAGGTCAGGGTAGCAACAGAGGTAATTACAGGTAAAGACTAGATAGAAGTGGGGTAGAGAATAATGCCATTTAAATTAGAACTGAAATTGAGCAAATAGGTTGGATGACGTAACATAAATGACTAGAAATTGAGCGTTGGTCAAGTCAGTAACAGTGGTAGTGAGGTGTAGAAATTAAATCGGATGGGGGTAGAGAACAAGGAAGTTGAAAATATTACAACTGAGAAGACAAAATAATACTAATACAAATCTCATGTACACACACACACACACACACACACACACACAAATAATTATATGTAAATGCGATTGTACAGCTATGTGAATGAATTCGCCGAACGTCTTCTCTTTTTCATTATTATTATTATTATTATTCGTCTATTTTTGAGTTGCTCGTTTCTCACATCTAATCACGTTTGCGAAACCAAAGGATTGTAAAAATCTTGTATTATCTATATGCTAATGGCTTTATTCGGTGATATAAAAAAAAACATGAAGGTAATGCAAAACGTAAATAACTTGCTCAGAAGTAGACAAAATGAACTTTTTTTATTCCTTCACGTTTCCAATGTAACATAGGGCTTCAAGCTAGAGAGGCTTGAACTATCGGTAGCAGTGGTATTTATTTTTATGGGATAGGGTTGCTAGCCACATGTCCAGCCTTCCCTACTTACCAGTCTTATTACTAGCTTAGCGAAGTAAAGGAGTAGGTCAGCCAGCAATCGAACCCCGGACCACATTAGACGTGGTTGGCATGCATTTTACCGCTGTGCCACCGACTCACAGATAATATGAATAACTGTAACATTAGGGGATACAATATTAAGTACAGTTCAAGCAAATTCACTCATTCACTGATAGATAGAGCTCGTTTCTGTTATCATCATGAAATTATATTAATTCAATTTCTGCGTCGGTGGCACAGCGGTTAGGACTCTCACCGATCATGCACATGCTCCCCTGCCGACGCATACCCAATATCTATGGTCGGCCTGCAAAATTTGGGCTACCGATATCACATACTGAAAATTCCATACCTGTAACAAAAATACGGTGTGGAATCAAGCTATAATCAAAAAAGAAAAATAGTATACATACATTTTTCCTTATTTTTAAGGAGTGTAAAACTTAATTCATTGATTTATAGAGATCTTTTTAACAAGGTATTCCTGAGTAACATTTTTCACAACTATTCAGAATTTTCATGTGTACATTCATCTGAAAATGTTTGTTTCTTATGCTTCAGATGAACCAATTCAGCATACTGGCCCAGTGATATCAGCTGATCATTTAAAAGTGACAGATAATCTACGAATATGTATATCTGGGTCAACAGATGGCATTTGTACATTTTGGGCCATCATTGGATCAACTATTCCATTAAACATGGAACAGACAACTTCACGTTTTGAATTTCTACGCATGAATTCAATTACATGGAAACCTCTGATCTGTTTGACTAATTCATATAGACAATGCAAATATCCTATAAACTCTATCGTTACGCAAATATGGTTAACTGATGATGATGAGAATGGAAAATCAACTCATTACTTTATTTATATTGCTTGTGGTTATGAAGTTTGGGTATTACATATTCACCTTGATTATTCTATTCTTACTAGTGAAATTAATGTTGAAAATACGATTATGCAATTATTTAGTACAAAAGGGAAATTGAATATATCACTTTCAGAATTATCAGCGTTATGGACATCTGAGAAGGTTGCTGAAATTAAAAAGTAAGTTTTTCTTGTCAATTGTACTACGCTTTGTTTGTTATTTCTGATGATAACTGATAAATGTGGCCAGTGGCTTAAACTGATTAGTTGAATTTGTTAAATTATTCATAAATTAGGCCATCAATGAGTGAAATGTCCATTCAGTGTTTAAACCACTTCGATATGGCTATCAAGCACCACTGTTTGAAAGTGAATGGTTTCTAACTATAAATATCAGTAGTGATTACCAACTTGCTGAATTGTTGCACGTTTAAGTGATATCGCTTACACAATTAAGTACTATTTTTTAGCACCCAGAACATAGTGGTTTATGAAAAACGAACAGTTGTTTCACTTGCTGCAGGTCAGGTCAAATTACTGTAGGTCTTTAAAAAAAACTCTATATGCGTTACCGCTAGAAGGCTGTAAATCACCTGGGTGAATTTAATGTTGATACAAAATCACTGCTTAATATGTGGACGACATCTTTATTATCTCTGATGACGGTCACGATCTCAATCAGTTACTACAAATATTCAACAATTCCCATTCAGCTACGAAGTTCACTCTTGAAATTGAAAACGAATCTAAAATCCCTTTTCTTGATGTTGAACTTACAAGGAGAGCTGACGGAACTTTAAGAAGGTTCATCCATAGGATACCTACATGGAACGGCCAACTGAAAAGCATCTACAGCTGGGTACCAGTCAGTAGAAAAAGAAACCTAATTAGATCTCTTGGCACTCGCGCCCGATGCATCTGCAGCTCTGATACCCTGGAAGAAGAACTACACTTCCTGAAAGAAACCTTCTTACAAAATGGTTATTCATCAAGATTCGTAGACAAAAACATCAAACACAAAATCCAAAAGCAAGAGACGCCATCCGTGTTAAAAAGATACTTTATATGAACCTCGACTTCAAAGGTGACCTACTCAGTGTTGTCCTTAGGAGGAGAATTTCCACTTCTTTAAGAAGAACTTTCTTTGCGGCGACATTGAGAGTAGTGTTCTTCAGAAGCCCAAAGGACAAGATCCAGCACCTGAACACTTCTGTGTGCATATATCAGTTTACCTGTTGCTGTGAAGCCAGGCACATCGGTCGTTCAACGCGCATCCTGTCAAAAAGGGCCAAAGAACACTATCTAGCGTGACTTCAAAAAGGAAGTAGTGGCCGTATAAGGGGTGCAATAATTGAGCTTTTCGTCAACACTGGTCATTCCATCTCAATAAACGCCTCCTTCAAATTAATCTACAAAGTGAAGAACAACCTTTCAAAGACAATACGTTCCCGTCTTCTTTGCATTGCAGAAGCCCTAACCATTTAGTTAGAAGAAACAGAACTATGCATACAAAAGAAAATCATCCAACCACTTCTACTATCCTGGTAACGACTCTGTTGATTTGTCTCAGCTTTTGTTTATATGCTTATTTTTCTAACTACTTGCGTAATTCCGTATGTTATTTTGCTTGCATGTACACCCTGAACACAACTCTTTCACATTATTACGTAACCCTTCTTTAACAATCGTTTGTGACAACTCATCACTTTTGTTACTATCCTCTTATATCAATATTCAATTAATCTAAACTTACTAATTGTATTTTCGTTTGACAAATTTAATGTACACACACATACAAAACAACCATCTATATTTGCGATTGTACAAGTATGAAAATGAATTCGCCAAAAAGAGACTCTTCGCTGAACTACTGGTCTTGTGTCCATTATTCTTTGCATGGGAATTTTTCATGAAGTAATAACTTACGAACCAACTAATAACCTTTTTGGTAATGGATTAATGGGAATTATTCAATCTGAGAGAAATTTTTTTGAAAAACCAACACCGACTTTAGGAATCAGTAAAAGCAGGCAACACTGGACAGCTTTTTCACTCTGCTACAAGACTGTTCAACAGTACAAATGTCATCATTGACTGAACTCAAGACTCTGAGGTTATAGGCTGTAAATCAAATCCATTTTCAAGAGCTGATGTGAGCATTTTGTATTTACCTCAGATTGGTCATTTTTCTAAAAGCACTTCATTTTTTGATTGTACGAATATTTTAAGCCGATGAACATCTTCGGATTGTTTGGTTATGCTTATCAAATAAGATCATAAGTCATCGTCTCTCGGTGTTTCGCTATGGCTCGTACGAAGCAGACTGCTCGCAAATCTACAGAAGGAAAGGCCCCAAGAAAGCAGCTGGCGACCAAGGCTGCCCGTAAGAGCGCACCAGCTACCGGTGGTGTTAAGAAACCACACAGATACAGGCCTGGAACCGTCGCCTTACGTGAAATCCATCGTCACCAGAAGAGCACAGAATTGTTGATCCGCAAACTGCCCTTCCAACGTCTCGTTAGTGAAATTGCTCAAGACTTCAAGACTGATCTGCGTTTCCAGAGCTCAGTAGTTTCTGCTCTGCAAGAAGCCAGTGAAGCCTACCTGGTTGGTCTCTTCGAAGACACCAAATTGTGTGCCATCCACGCCAAGCGCTTTACCATTATGCCAAAGGACTTCCAGTTGGCTTGTCGCATTCATGGTGAGAGCGCTTACATTTTTGCTGGTTAGGAACCCAAAGAACGATGCAAAGGCCCTTTTTAGGGCCTCTTGTGCGTCGGTGGCACAGTGGTTAGGACTCTCGCCGACCATGCACATGGTCCGAGGTTTGATCCCCTGCCGACGCACACCTGGTTGGTATCTATGGTCAGCCTTCAAAATTTGGGCTACCGATATCCATCTTGAAAATTCCATACTTGTACCAAAAATATAGTGTGGAATAAAGCTGTTATCAAAAATAAAAAAATTTTTAAAAATTTCATATGCTTCTGAAAACTGATCATAAACTTTTTTTCCTACTCTTTTTTTATCAGATACAACCTTGATCATGTTGTCGTCCAGATGTCTGCAATTAGCCAACAACCAGGTGTTATTTCTCAGTGTGGTGTTGTAGCACTCCTTTCGAATGGAGAAGTAGTTATTATGCCTTATGCTTGTGAAGATGATGAATTCCGTCATATTCGTGTTCAAAATGAGTAAGTTAACTTCTTCTTCACCAGTTCCTCTCCATTTTGTTGTGTTTTGTATTTATTTTTTCATTATTTTCCAGTATGATTTTTATCATGTGTTACTTTTAACTACTCATAACGACTTACTTCGTTCATCTTACTATTTTTTTTTACTTTTACTATGAAGTTGTTTATCATAGAGTAAAAATGCATGGATGCTAAGTTTGTTCTTTTAGGCATACAGCTTCATATTCGTTTCCTATACTTTTGTATTTTTTTGTTATATATGTGTTTTCGCCTATTTCGGTAGCACTCATTTAATGTATCGACTTCTACGTCAATCTGTATTTTTGCTTACTAGTTGATGTTCTAGATTCGTTTTCACAACATAGCAATGTTCTTTTTTTTTTGTAACATCATCGTGCGTCAGTGGCACAGCGGAAGGAATGCTAGCCAACCACATATGTAATTCACAGTTCGGTACCCACCCACCCCCACCAATGCACACCTTTACCTTGCTAAGGCAGTAATAAGACTGGTAGAGAGGGAAGGTTTGGCATGCGGCTAGCAACCGCATCCCACAAAAATAAATACCACTGCTAACGGAACTTCAAGTCTCTCTAGATTGAAGCTCTATGTTCCACTGAGAACGTAGAGGAATAAAATAAATAAATAAAGAATTGTAACATCATCCAACAAAATCTATTAGATTGTTGAAATTTATCATCTATTCACGTTTCATAAATCTAAGATTAATACCTACCATGTCATACGCCACATATCGGTCAAGGTTTTGATATCCCGTGAGCTTTAATTAACATTCTACTGCTGACGCCCTCGTTCGCCTCATTAAAAATCAGATGCTTCTATCACTAAAAAAAATTAATTCAGGAACAGTAGAGGATTGACTGATAATTAATAAAAGGTTCATGTTGATGGATCCCGCACACTAAAGAGCTTTTCTTCTTCTTCTACCAACTTGAATCACCTTCATTCAATATGCTCCAGTATCTCTTAGTATTTGTATGTAAAATTTCCAGAAAGTGAAAAACGGACACCATGATCTGTAAAAAGTAAAGAATATCTGTAATGCAGAATGTTAGCCTTCAGACCAAGTCGTCTCCTGAGCTGGTGGCTGTGATAAGGGAAACTTATCTGCTATCACATTCGCCAAATAAACCTCCACGTCAAATAAAATCCTAATCTGAATATCAGTATTTCTTTTAAAGGCAAACTCTGAACATGTTGAATCTAAGTTTAAGCAGCTCGTAAATATACCCTTTAATTTGATTCTGTCTTACGAAACTAAACAGTATATTTATAAACTCTTTAGATGCATTTCTTCAGAGGTAATTTATTTTTCAATTTACTTGTATTGCTTAGAGTTGTTGTTGTGACAAGTTAGAAATATGGTGCTTTATGTATGTTAATTTTCATTATCAAGACAATGCAAGTGTGGACTACTGCATACCTTTTTCACCATAAAAATGTCAGTATAGTAAAAGTTGTAAAACTTAATTAACCTTTGAAAGTGTCCTTCACCTCTGAGGCTAAAATTAGCATTCTAAATTTGAAAATACTAGACACAATACAGCTCCACATTAACTAAGAAATCAATTATTTATGAGCAGTGAAGTAAATCAATAACTTTAGTAAATACCACAATAATTTCTCACTAAAAGGCATTTGTAATACTAGGTGGTTTCTTTTCCATATTTGTTTGCATAAAACAAATATTTTCATTGTAATGATCACTTTGAAATTTCATTCTGACTGGGTTAGTACTTAATTCTGTAAGGCAGTGGTTGAGCCTGTGTGTCAAAGTCGCTCAACCAACTATACTGGATGAAAAGAATGCTTTTGTGTGTCCTAGCATACCAGAAAGATCATTTCAGCAATAGTGAGAATAATGGTAGTTATCACCATATTTCATGTTGCTAACAATATAATACAAAAACCTTAGCATGTTGGGCCAATATTGTGAATCTGCAAAATTCATTTTACAAGTTCTATAAGATTCTTTGGTCAAAGACAGTAATGAGTTCGAAAGCAGGAAGCTCACTACTCAACCGAATCCCAGTAGTTAGTTGTCTGTATGACATCTGATCAAATGGATCCATAAGGATGTGGTGAGAGTTTGATACTAATCTATGACTTTTGAAATCTCCGTCTATTCTGCCACCTGATGCAGTTCAGATGAAGTGAAGGATGCATGGTTCACTACCAAAAGCAAAACGCTCAAATATAGTCATACTGGTAAGTGATTTTAATGCTAAAATAACAAAGCTGAAACATTTCGAGAAGTATGTTGGAGAGGGAATCTGTAGTATTCCATACTGACAAAATGAAAAAGGTTATCGTCTTTTACATTACTGTTTGGCTTACCACCTGTTCCTGGTCAACACTAATTTCAAACACATGGAGAAATATTGTCCTACCTGGAAACTGCGCAAACCACGCCAAGGATGGACACAGACAGATCACCTAGCTATAGTTCATTGATTAAGAGACTTGGTAAGCGACAACCTCTCTCACTAGAACACCCGCATGAATTCTGGTCTTTTATTAGTCCGTTCATGTGCCTGCCTACGACTAGACTGTGAAACCCATTCGCATATTGCTTCTCAGTGCAAATATGGAGGGAGGAGATAACTAGACATTTACTCAGTACTCATCCTGAGGAAACCTGGCATCACATAAATAGTAATGAAGATAGTTTATAATCTTTGGCCAAAGGTTGGTAGATTCTCGCAGTCTCATTTGAACTGACTGTTGCGTGGGAACAGATTCCTAAAGGTCCCTTGGAATAACAAGCTCTGCAAAACATATAACAAGTGAAATAATCTCCAAAGAAAATGAAACTTTAGTAGCATCTCAGCATAGATGGCTAAAATAAGAGTCTGGATACTCTGAAAAGTAATTCAACTGATGTACAAGTGTACTACAATTGCCCATCGTCCAACCGTAACTTCATTGGGATGCAGACATCTGTCGTCCAGCTGTAGCCAAAGTTAAGAAAGCTGTCTCCAATCTAAAATGACGTAAAACAACAATATCTGATGACGTGATTCGAAAAGTTTTTAAGGATGATAGTGATGAAATATTTTTAAAAATGCCTGATCTATTAGCTAGTGTATTGGCTTTCGGGGCAGTTCTATCGCAGTGATATAGATCAGTGTTCTCCGGGTTCATAAGAAAGGAAACTAATCTTGACTGACATCGTATCTAACACTGAGCGAAGCTCCCTGAATGTTCAGGATACTGTAGCAAATATAAGATGATATTCCAAGATTAAATTCTACTATCTCATGGTTTAAAGATGAAAAGTTACGTCATCAAATGCATTGGCTACTTCATTTTTTGAAAAGTTGCATCCCTAATAGACAAAATTGTTGACGAAATCTCAAATGCGATTCATAGAATTCGCTTGCCACTTGCTTATCTGCATGACACTTTACACAGATTTGATATCTGATCAAGTATCAATAGATATGTTTACTGCGCAGATATTCACTCTCTCTACTGAAGACCACTAAAAGCAGATGTTAATAGATTAGAAGTTTTCAGTCAAGACATTTTTCTTTTGGTTTCACAGATTGTGTGGATTATGACTACAGAGAGCAAGCCTGATGTTAAGTTAATCAATCAGGCTTTGAATCTTATACAGCTGATCAGGTTAGGATATGTGTTACCCATGCCATGTCACCTCCTTTCTTGGCAAATAATGACAGCCAAAACAAATTTATGTTCGAAAAGATTTTGCCTGATCAAAGCATGACATCAATCCATGAAGTCATTGTTGTCCTGAGCAAGGTATAAATTACCCTGGAATATTAGGAGTCAGCAGTTGGGAACTGGAGGTGAAAAATAAGTCATTCGCAGATTAACCAGTTCGAGGTATGAATTCACTCGTTTCCCTTGGAAACTAAAAAAGATATTCAGATCAAAATATGCGGTCTGATTGATAGCATATATGGCAAGCTAGAAAAAGAAACAAATGGTGTTTAGACTACTCCGATGCTGCTAGTAGGCACTGATGCATGACGTAATCGATTTCCAGGTACTCACATCAATCAGTAGCATCTACCATCATGCTGTTACACGTTGTAGTTGATTTATGGACTTCTTTAATTTTTTATGTCTTTCTTGCACATTTATCTTACACAATTAACACTCACTTAGTTTGTTTTTATTGTAAGAAATCCTTTTTCCATTGTAAAAGTACTAATTTTGAGTAAGTGCGTTTACCATTGGTAGCCGTAGAATGGTTATGATGAAATTTAAATTCCAGCTAAACCATTCGATATTCTACTTAACAAAATGTCACTTTGAGGTCATATTAGTGACTTACGAAATGCTAATGCTGTTGTGAAAACCCTGAATGAATTTCATCAAGTAATATCAGCAGCTTTGGCATATATATCCTCCTAAGTAGTTATTTCCGATTAACATTTATTAATTAAATTATACCCGATAGCGAAACCCACTGTTATCTGATACTGACAGTTATTTTACAGCTAATCACTATCAAATTATTGTTTGATTTAAATCTATGTAGCTCGCTCTCCAATCTTTGGTGTACTTCACTCAGTACGTATGCGGGTGGTGTACTTGTGGCGCATGCAGGATCTGCTTTATTCTACCCATACGCTGATGAGGTAAGTGATATTTTTAGTTTACTATTAAGCCCGTAGATGGCTGCATCTCATGGTTTAAGTTACTGATGGATAATATAATGTCGTCATTGAAATAATAGAGAAGATTTGTAGCTCAGGTGGATGACTTGAAATTAATAGTGTTCTCTGAGCTGGTTGGTTTAGATGCAGAGCTTTCGTCGTACTTCTGGACAGCATATTCAGCGCAACTTTTAGCATAAAGTCATCTCAAAAACGTTTCGTTTTACATATGTTGCATTATTTTTGATTTACCTCGAAAATTCCTACTAGATTCTGGCTTAACTTTAGGAGACTTTCACTCAGTAGTTACGCTAAACACTTGAAAATGAATCTGATGCTCACTAGTGACTGACTACAGAATGGAGTTGCCTGAAGTTACAGTGAGATGTCGTGATCAACGCGTTTCACCAATTTGGGTGTAAGGACAAACACTTGCCGATAACATTCACTTGGTAGCCACGCTATTAATCGTGAATTGGCAGAAGTTAGAACCGATGAACCGTTAAATCCCACCCCACTTGTTGAATAGTCCACCAGCCCGCCTTCTAACCTGAAGATCCTGGGTTTGATCCATGATGGGATCATGCGTGCGTACTGATGAAGAGTTCCAAACCAGGACGTAACAACTGCCTAGTACTCCCCAGTCTCCAACAGTTTTCGGACTAAAGTCTACTCATGATCAAACTTGAAGTATGATATAATAAAACTTTTTGCATGCAAATTTTTCTGGTAAATTAACAAAATAAATAAACAGTTGGCAATAGGACATATGACATCTTCATACTGTTTATCTAATGCGTTTTCTTGTGATATTTTAACTTTATTTAAGAACCAAACAATTATGCATTCTAGGACTCTCTCTCAGGCTAATACATTTTCACTTTATATGACGATAATATATAGTATGACGACAAATACTAGCCGAAGACATTTTCTAACGGTTGCGCTATATTGTGAATTGGTAGAAGTTAGATTTCATGGGCCATTGGATCGGGTCCCAGTGGCTAAATGGTCTTTGAGCTCCCCTTGTAACCAGAAGATCCTGGGTTCGAACAACGTCGGTGGGTGCGTACTGATGAAGAGTCCCAAGATGGGACGGAGGAAACAGCTGTCCGGTACTCCCAGGTTTTCCAATGGTTCTCTAACCAATGTCAGCTCATAATGAAATCCGGTAACCAATCAATCAAATGCCTATAAAACAATACTTCGATAATATTTTTTAATAAATCTTTATATTTTTCATTCAAATATTATTTACTTCTTCCTCCTTACTGTCCGTGACTTGAACAATATACAACCTCCCTCGACATATCACCTATTACGTAAAAAATATATCCTAAGCCAAAATAAACTTGACTTCGTTGGATGAAGTACTCACTACTAATGATCATTTTGACTTCTGTTGAGAACCAGGGTTTTTCCACAGTTCAAATATTTCTAGGTGCTATTTGCTTAAGAATACACATCTTAATGAATACCTCGTGTTTATGAAAACTTATCAGGATTATATTTTCACAGCCAGAAATTATACACTATTTCAATATGAATAGCAAACGTCAACAGTAACTTTATGTATGTTTAGCAAATTTGCGTATCATAGAATTATTTTGGAAATATGATTTGCTTACTTATTAGTAGTAGTTCAACATAACAAAAGTGGATCTTATAAAAGAATAGAACATGTTCAGTGTGGTACAGTGGAATTCCATTGTGGGTAAAATTTATTTTCATAAAGTCTCGCAGTCTGTCTGTCTGTTTTCGACATAGAACTTTGCTCATATGTGCACCAGTTCAAGTCGCCACATTCCATGTAGCACACAAAGCAAAAGAAGAAAGTAGAAGAAATGCATAATAGAGACAGTAAACAGAGGTGTAAGACAAAGGAAGAGTAATAACGAAGAACAATATAGTTTCATTGGAGATTGTAAGTCACAAGGAGTGGATGCATCTGCGCCAGCCATTGAGAACGATTTTGAGCCGTGTCTTCAATTGTTTCCAACCATTGATTTTTACCGTCACGAGGACCCCAACCAGTCAGGAAGTTTACACCTTCCTACGTGGCTTAGACTAACTGCTGTAGATTTCATTGACTGGCGAAGCCATGTTTTGGTTTGACCGCCACCAGCTCTTTTCCAGCCTGACCCTATATCAGATAACATTGCCCATCGAGGAAGGCGGTGACTAGGCATACGTAACACATGGCCTAACCATCTCAGTCTATGTAACTTCACAACCTCGTCGCCTGATTTCCCCAACTTACCTAGCACTCGACGCCTACCTCAATATTTCTCACCTTATTATACCACTTCACACGGGAGATAGAGCGCAGCCACCAATAACCAAAGAAAGCAAATCTTTTCATGTCTTCCACTCTCAATAGCCAGGTCTCACAGCCGCGAAGGAGGACGGAGCGGACTGGTGAGCAGTACACCCGCACTTTCGTCGATAGTCTGATATCACGTCTACGCCAGAGACGGCGTAAACTGGCATATGCGAAACTAGCCCCCCCTTATCCATGCTGAGATTTCTACAGAGATCAACCCGCTGAGGCAGTGTAATACAGTAATATTTACTGATGATGTTTCGAGAACAATTTATTTCCGCCCATTATCATATCAACGCACTACTCACACAACTTTCTAATTCCATAATTTTTCATCGCTTCACTTGATTGGTAGTAAAAGTATTTTGCATATTTCTGATACGAGTGATGAGTCATTCCAATTGCATGTGTTCAGTGTAGGTAGACTCGATGAACAAGCAAGAATACAGTAATCAACCACTCTCTCTCTCTCTCTCCACTCACGTACATATATTACTTCTTAGAAATTTAACCACTCCCGACCATCCTATTTATTGTGTGGTTGTGTGATAATGCATGCAATGCGATGTAGTACTAAGCTTTTTTCTAAATTAATTGTCTCGTCTTCCCTTCGGAAATGGGGTCAACCATTCTCACCTTAGCAAAATACTTATGTTCCCACAAGCTGACTACACCCGACCGACTAGTTCGTTTGACCTATGTAGTTGACCTGACTCACAGTCATTGTAGGGTATTTTGTAAATAATATTATTTTGTCTAACTGAGTCAACCTACAGAGTCCTTTAACCTACAGAGCTTGTCCTGTCTGAGTGAGTTTGTAGGTTCAGCCTAATACCACTCAGCCTAATTCCTGCTTTATTGAGAATCCTACGTAGGGCCTCAGATGTCCCCTCCTTATATGGTAAAATTAATGTAGATGCCTTATATTCTCTTTTATTTATCTTATCATTAATTTGTTTCACCATAATTTCTACCTTGCATTTCACCATTCTTGATATTCTGATATGTATCCACATATATATATTTATGTGTGTGTGTGCATGTTGGTCTCTCTTACTGTTTGCTCTCTTAGTCTGTGACCACTTCACTTGTATGGACTTGTCTCCTTTAATAATGTGTATTCTCCTTATATTATATTATATATAATATGAGTGTTTGTTGACAGTCCGTTGCTTGGTGACATATATCCATATATGTTTGTTGGCATGTCTGCTATATTCGCTATGTATAATTGGATCGACACTCCATTATAATTAGCCATTCATGTTAAGACTGTCTAATGATTTTTCCCACGCTTGTCTGAATTATTTATATATATTCGCATTCACAATTTGTGTGAACTACTTTACTTTACAACTACTTGACTTGCTTACCACTTTGGTGTGAGACTATTTATTTTCGTCTCCTTGTGTTTGGACAATAGAAGTATCATCGCAAACCTAGTGGTCTTCTGATTTCCGCCTTCTCGTGTCAGGACTATTAATTTCTCGACCAGTCCATAACAATAATTCAGCGACGAGTACATAACAATTTGGCGACGGGGAAAACTACTATTAACCACACAGCAGCAACAACATAACGATTTACTATGGATCCTTCTAAATTGGAATTATTGTTTGAACGACAAACGAAATTAATGGAAATGTTCGTCAACCAACAGACTGGTCCAGCTCCACCTTCAAGCAATCCCAATCATACCATGCTACCATCTGTCGACGGAATTGTGAACAGCATTTCACAGTTCAATTATGACCCAGAGGCTAATGTCACTTTTGACACATGGTATCAACGTTATGAGGATTTATTCACTGTTGATCTCGCCTCACAAGACGATGCCTGGAAGGTGCGAGTTTTGCTACGTAAATTGGGTCCGGCAGAATATGAACGGTACTGCAACCTAATTTTACCACAGAAACCACGTGACAATTGTTTCGATGATACAATAAAGTTGCTGCGTGAACATTTCGGAGACCACTCCTCATTATTCAGTATACGTTATCGTTGCCTCAAGCTGGCAATGAATGAAAATGATGATTTTCTTACTCACGTTGGCACAGTCAACCGAGAATGTGAGAGATTTCGACTCAGGTCCTTAACAGATGATCAGTTCAAAGCCTTGATTCTCATATACAGTCTCCAATCTCCTCGTTTCACAGATATCCGAACTCGACTGCTCAATCAGCTAGAACAAAATCCCAAGTTAACATTACATGACATAGCTGATGAATATCAACGGCTGATTAATCTGCAGAAAGACACACACCTGGTCGAATCAACACCTCCGAGAAGCTCTGATATTCGTGCATTACGCAAGAGCAAAAATCTCTCATCAGCTACTCCTGACCCACCTACTTCTCTAATGTTCCGCGGAAATCTACACATACTCGTCCAACTTCACGAAATACGACAAAGAAGACCCCTCCATCACCATGCTGGCATTGTGGCGCGTGGCACTTTGTAAAGTCTTGTCCATACAAAAATCATCGTTGCAGCAAGTGCAAGATCATCGGTCACAAAAATGGTTTTTGTCAGCCACGTAACCCAGATATCAAAATCCAGCAAAAGCTCAACAAAATGTTGGTCCTAAATCCCCAAAAAGTCATTGAGTCTACGCGCAACCCGTCAAGTCACAACGCCAGGTATGCGGAAATATCTTGATCTTCAGATGAACGGTTATGATGCCCGTCTGCAGCTAGATACCGCCTCTGATATTACTGTTATATCAGAGAAACTTTGGAATTATATTGGCAGACCACCTATCACCAATACTTCCCAGTCTCTTGTCAGCGCCTGTGGTGGGCAGCTCAAACTTATTGGTGAACTCAAATGTTCTGTTTCTTTCCGCACTACCAAATTCACAGGAATTTGTTACGTCACGAAGAATGATTTAAATGTTTTGGGACTTGATTGGTTCGATCGTTTGCATCTGGCTGATGTCCCACTAAATTCTCTACGCAATACAGTGAAGAAGCATAAAATGCTAGACAATTCCGGACGGAGCCGAAGCCGCAAACCCAACAATCAGACGAAACGACAGGCGTCAACAACAAGCCCAAAGGTCCCAGATAAACCCCCAGGTAAACATCCTACTAATCATTCATCTTCTCAAAAGGGGAGGTGATATGTATCCACATATATATATTTATGTGTGTGTGTGCATGTTGGTCTCTCTTACTGTTTGCTCTCTTAGTCTGTGACCACTTCACTTGTATGGACTTGTCTCCTTTAATAATGTGTATTCTCCTTATATTATATTATATATAATATGAGTGTTTGTTGACAGTCCGTTGCTTGGTGACATATATCCATATATGTTTGTTGGCATGTCTGCTATATTCGCTATGTATAATTGGATCGACACTCCATTATAATTAGCCATTCATGTTAAGACTGTCTAATGATTTTTCCCACGCTTGTCTGAATTATTTATATATATTCGCATTCACAATTTGTGTGAACTACTTTACTTTACAACTACTTGACTTGCTTACCACTTTGGTGTGAGACTATTTATTTTCGTCTCCTTGTGTTTGGACAATAGAAGTATCATCGCAAACCTAGTGGTCTTCTGATTTCCGCCTTCTCGTGTCAGGACTATTAATTTCTCGACCAGTCCATAACAATAATTCAGCGACGAGTACATAACAATTTGGCGACGGGGAAAACTAGTACATAACAATTTGGCGACGGGGAAAACTACTATTAACCACACAGCAGCAACAACATAACGATTTACTATGGATCCTTCTAAATTGGAATTATTGTTTGAACGACAAACGAAATTAATGGAAATGTTCGTCAACCAACAGACTGGTCCAGCTCCACCTTCAAGCAATCCCAATCATACCATGCTACCATCTGTCGACGGAATTGTGAACAGCATTTCACAGTTCAATTATGACCCAGAGGCTAATGTCACTTTTGACACATGGTATCAACGTTATGAGGATTTATTCACTGTTGATCTCGCCTCACAAGACGATGCCTGGAAGGTGCGAGTTTTGCTACGTAAATTGGGTCCGGCAGAATATGAACGGTACTGCAACCTAATTTTACCACAGAAACCACGTGACAATTGTTTCGATGATACAATAAAGTTGCTGCGTGAACATTTCGGAGACCACTCCTCATTATTCAGTATACGTTATCGTTGCCTCAAGCTGGCAATGAATGAAAATGATGATTTTCTTACTCACGTTGGCACAGTCAACCGAGAATGTGAGAGATTTCGACTCAGGTCCTTAACAGATGATCAGTTCAAAGCCTTGATTCTCATATACAGTCTCCAATCTCCTCGTTTCACAGATATCCGAACTCGACTGCTCAATCAGCTAGAACAAAATCCCAAGTTAACATTACATGACATAGCTGATGAATATCAACGGCTGATTAATCTGCAGAAAGACACACACCTGGTCGAATCAACACCTCCGAGAAGCTCTGATATTCGTGCATTACGCAAGAGCAAAAATCTCTCATCAGCTACTCCTGACCCACCTACTTCTCTAATGTTCCGCGGAAATCTACACATACTCGTCCAACTTCACGAAATACGACAAAGAAGACCCCTCCATCACCATGCTGGCATTGTGGCGCGTGGCACTTTGTAAAGTCTTGTCCATACAAAAATCATCGTTGCAGCAAGTGCAAGATCATCGGTCACAAAAATGGTTTTTGTCAGCCACGTAACCCAGATATCAAAATCCAGCAAAAGCTCAACAAAATGTTGGTCCTAAATCCCCCAAAAAGTCATTGAGTCTACGCGCAACCCGTCAAGTCACAACGCCAGGTATGCGGAAATATCTTGATCTTCAGATGAACGGTTATGATGCCCGTCTGCAGCTAGATACCGCCTCTGATATTACTGTTATATCAGAGAAACTTTGGAATTATATTGGCAGACCACCTATCACCAATACTTCCCAGTCTCTTGTCAGCGCCTGTGGTGGGCAGCTCAAACTTATTGGTGAACTCAAATGTTCTGTTTCTTTCCGCACTACCAAATTCACAGGAATTTGTTACGTCACGAAGAATGATTTAAATGTTTTGGGACTTGATTGGTTCGATCGTTTGCATCTGGCTGATGTCCCACTAAATTCTCTACGCAATACAGTGAAGAAGCATAAAATGCTAGACAATTCCGGACGGAGCCGAAGCCGCAAACCCAACAATCAGACGAAACGACAGGCGTCAACAACAAGCCCAAAGGTCCCAGATAAACCCCCAGGTAAACATCCTACTAATCATTCATCTTCTCAAAAGGGGAGGTGATATGTATCCACATATATATATTTATGTGTGTGTGTGCATGTTGGTCTCTCTTACTGTTTGCTCTCTTAGTCTGTGACCACTTCACTTGTATGGACTTGTCTCCTTTAATAATGTGTATTCTCCTTATATTATATTATATATAATATGAGTGTTTGTTGACAGTCCGTTGCTTGGTGACATATATCCAAATATGTTTGTTGGCATGTCTGCTATATTCGCTATGTATAATTGGATCGACACTCCATTATAATTAGCCATTCATGTTAAGACTGTCTAATGATTTTTCCCACGCTTGTCTGAATTATTTATATATATTCGCATTCACAATTTGTGTGAACTACTTTACTTTACAACTACTTGACTTGCTTACCACTTTGGTGTGAGACTATTTATTTTCGTCTCCTTGTGTTTGGACAATAGAAGTATCATCGCAAACCTAGTGGTCTTCTGATTTCCGCCTTCTCGCGTCAGGACTATTAATTTCTCGACCAGTCCATAACAATAATTCAGCGACGAGTACATAACAATTTGGCGACGGGGAAACTAGTACATAACAATTTGGCGACGGGGAAAACTAGTACATAACTAGTCATAATCAGCCACTTGTTAGAATGTGTTTGAATTTAAATAGAATTTTAAGAATATTTATTATCTTCTTCTGATTTGACGTGTGGTAATAATATCTTCCATATTTCTGGTATTTGCATTGAGTCGTTTCTGTTGCATGTGTTGGGTGTAGACTCGAGAAAAAAGGATTCCGCGATCAACCTCTCTCTCTCCACCTACCTAGATTACTCTTTAGAATTGTAACCCTCTCCCACCCATTGTGTTGTGTGGTTGTGTGTTATTGCATGCATTGCGATTGCTGAGCTTTTTTCTAAATTACTTATCTTCTCGGGGTCAACCATTCTTACCTTAGCTAAATCTTTGTGTTCCGACAGTCTGACTACCCCTCACCTACTAGTTTGACCTATGTAGTTGACCTGACTCACAGTCATTGTAGGGTATTTTGTAAATAATATTATTTTGTCTAACTGAGTCAACCTACAGAGTCCTTTAACCTACAGAGCTTGTCCTGTCTGAGTGAGTTTGTAGGTTCAGCCTAATACCACTCAGCCTAATTCCTGCTTTATTGAGAATCCTACGTAGGGCCTCAGATGTCCCCTCCTTATATGGTAAAATTAATGTAGATGCCTTATATTCTCTTTTATTTATCTTATCATAATTTGTTTCACCATAATTTCTACCTTGCATTTCACCATTCTTGATATTGCTAATGAATTTTATAGGATAGTTAGTTATTCAACACCAACGCTTCTTCTATCTGTTTTATTTCGTCATTTAGGTCTTTTCTTGTGCTACTTATTCCTATGGCTCGGTTTGTTAAACACTTCACTAAGCTTGCCTTCACAGACTGTTAACGGATGAGACGAATTAAAGTCTAAATATTTATTAGAATGAGTTGGTTTTCTATAAACACTAGTGTGTAGTTTGCCTTCTTCTATTCGTTTTATTTTACAATCTAACATAGCTAATTCTCCTTGTTCATTTTCTGATTCGAATGTGAATTTTATTCCCTCTACTAGTGAGTTTATGTGTGTGTGAAGAGGCTAGAGATATGTTCTGTTTTCAACACTGTGAAAGTGTCATCCACATATCTCCAGCCACCATATTTTTCGAGTAGGATTGGGTGAATGTATTCATCAGAGCAATATTTTCCCAGCTGACCATGGAGATATCTGCTACTATAGGGGATATTGGTGATCCCATTGCTACACTGTCTGCTTGTCTATATATTTTGCTTTGCCTTGAAATTTAGCATCATTTCAAATTTGACAGGAGGGAATTGCATGCGAAACATCCTACGATTGCTGCTCCTCAAAGTAATCAGAAAACTCAACTGCTTTCTGTCAGCTTCTCCCTCACCCAGGAGGAGGAGCAGTTGGTCTATATATATATTCCACCATGTCAACACGCTTAGTTGGGTGTGTGAGCCTGAGAATGACGTGTAGTTGAGTAATAATGGCTCATTCATTCTGAGTGAACCTCCTTACTCATCCATCGGAGTGTGTGGAGAATCAGAGAAAGAGCACAAAGCACCAGACTGACTGTCTTGTGAATTTCGGGACGTCAGCTAATATCTGTAGCCAACCGTCCCATGTCCAAATATTATGCCGCTCCACTGCCTTGACGTCAAGTCGTATACCTTAAACCAAAACTACCATTTGACAATCTTACAGATAGTGCACTCAAAACATGTTCTATGACTGATTTTACCATGTGACTGTAAAACCTTCACTGACATTTCATGCATTTCTACATCTCCAAATCATATATATCGACAGCTTTCTGTTCTGTTCACTTCTTCAAAATACTTATAACCGTAACAGTCGTCAGTAGTAGTATATACGTTCATGAACAAAAAATATCCGTTGAAGTTGAATTTTTTCGTTTATACTTACTCAAAAATACCTGTTGAAACTAGTCAGGTTTAACCAATCAATAATCCAGAAATAATTTATCTGAAGCAGAAAATATCTCCTAAGATGAATGAGATTTTATCTTGTCGGCCTGATTAGACCGGAATCGTTTCTAACAGGCACCTGCAGACTTTCATCAACAGCTGTCTTCGCTGTCTCCATACCGGAGATTAGACTGCTGGTAAGAAACAATGAGCGATACGCTGGCTTCCCGACTACCCATTGGACTACTTCATTTAATCATCATCACCACGGGATCTCCCCCATGTCACTCTGAGACAGACCCTCTCTCTCCAATTCGTCATTTAACACAGGATGCCTCATATGGCGCCCTCCCTGTCTGACGTATGATGTCATTCAGACTACTTTTACAGCTGATATGCTGACCGATGAGTTGTTTGTTGGATCATTGCCACACTGATGAAAAATAAGAGAAGTATACAAACGAAGTTAGAAAGCTGTGTAAATATCTTGATGTGATTATGAGCAATGAAATATGCTCGAAACGTGATCATCAGTAAATATTACCATATGGCTCTGTGAAAATTTTGTTATGAAGTCGATTTTACCCAGAATGAAACGTAACTTTATCACTTCTACTTTTTTATGTAATCGTTTGTTGTTTCAGGACTGTTATTTAAGCCCCTTTGTGGATCCATAAACGATTTGGAAAATGTGAAAATTGATACAGTTGAACCACTTTATCTTCCTGTCGGAAATGATATGATTTTGTAAGTTCCGTCTTACCATCTTCAAAATTTTTTTGTGTACACCCTTACTAATAGAAAGGAGGATGAATTGTTGAAAGAATGTCTGGTCAGATATATTAGTACCGATCAAGCGGATAATTAAGTTCTGCTTGTATCTATCTCTTAGTCTGCAGAAAACAAGGCCACTTCATTGTCTGTCTTCAATCTCAAAACTTGACGTTTCTGTAAACAAAATTTTAAAAATAACTTCCAATGTTTTCATAATTTCAAAAATCCTGAGACTAATACACTAACCAGATCCAATATTAAAAATACCTAATATCATGTGCGTCGGTGGCACAGTGGTTAGGACTCTCGCCGATCATGCACATGGTCCGAGGTTTGATCCCCTGCCGACGCACACCTCATATCTATGGTCAGCCTGCAAAATTTGGGCTACCGATATCCATGCTGGAAATTCCATACCTGTATCAAAAATGCATTGTGGAATCAAGTTGTAATCAAAAATAAATAAATAAATTTAAGTTTACTGTTTACCACTTCTAAACACCAAATCTTGTATTACGAATTACGATTATTATTAGTAGTAGTATTAGTATTTCGAAAATGCCACCAATCCATGAAGTCATTGGTTTGACCCGTGAGACGAAATGTAAATTACCTGACTTTGATCATTTGGATGATAAGGATCAGTTATAGAAATACCTTTATGAAATGATTACTAGTCGTTCACAACAATCCAGATTTATCTACTTCATCATTTAAACCTTTGAAAGATTTAGTGACGTTCATTTAATAATGCTTCTCTACCTTACTTATCATTTTGTTCCTGTTTCCCTATTCCATGAACTTTTTCAAAATGCAGCGACCTTAACTCATGCGATTCTGTGCAGAGTTCTACATTGATTGTTAGTTGACTGACTAAAGTCAGTCATCAGATTATCACGCCAACTTGGTGCATTATGGATATCAGGAGATGAGCCATGCCACACACTATTCCGAGGGTGAGTATACTTCTCGGATACTTAGACCGAAAGAGATGATTGTCTTAAGTGATACCACCACCTCCGAGTCTTTGACCTGAAGTCTGATCCACATGACAGTGAGTGGAGCAGTGTCAGGATTTATGCTCCAAATAACCGAAACAGGTTCATCTTCCACTCGATCCTCAGGATACTGGAGCCTGTGTACACCATATGTTTTCAATCGAGATTTTCACGCTTCCTTAGATACATCTGAGTACCCACCAGTCCAGCTGTAAGCGCCAGATGATCATATTCGCTCTTTCATTTCTGTGTGGAACGCCAACACCCCATCTCACGTGAAGACAGTGAATAGGAATTTCTTGACACAGACTATCAAGACATGACCACATGAAAACATTTTGAGAGGAGGACCGTAATCTAACCACCTTCAGCCCTGTATCAGCTCGTTAATCGGGGCAAATTGTCATATAACATATTTCAATAAAGAAAAAATCCCCATTTAGACATTTAGAAAACAGAAAGATTGAGCGAAGAAATATTTACTTTTCAATTAGATCCTCATCTTTGGCTCTACTCTAATAAATTTAGCATTTTAATTACCATACAACGGTTTGCCAATCAAGTGGCGATAAGTTTGTTAACAATAATTAAACTGTGTCAATGGGTTAATAGTTAACGAAGAAAATCAATACAGATTTAAAAGGTGGAAATGAATAGAATAAATTAATTTTACAAGAATAACACGTAAATTAAAGATAAAGTGGTCAAAATAAATAAAATAATAAATAATTTAGACAAATATTTTATAGGTTTAGGGGGAGGAGATGACGCAGTCCTGTTTATCCATTCTTGTGACGATGGCCACGGTAGGGAAAGTGGTTGTACAAATTTGTTCTGTACACATAGGCTTGGCTTCTTCAGATGAATGCCAATCGCCTCAGCCGTCTGTAGAAGACGAACTCGCAAAGCAAAATTAAGATAAGTTGGAATGCGATAAATAATTTTAAATGCTGTATTAACATCAATCTTATGCTCAGTATCAACGAGGTGGGCTAAAATAGAACTACGAATAGATCTTTTTTGTCCCTTGCTTAACCACGTTGGATGATGTTCGGAAATACGACGATGAACTTGCCTAATTGTACGCCCAATGTATATAACATATTGACTAATCATCTATCGAAGGTGAAATTATACTCATTATTATGTATGTTGCGTGTATCAGACACAAATTACAAAAGGGCTGTGATAGTCGGTGTTTCCAGGACATTTTTATGTGCAGTTTGTTTTTATATGTGTATATGTGACTCACTGAGTTTTCTGTCTCAGTTAATTTTCCAATGCATTTGTATACTATTGTTTATTTTCCATTTTGATTTGTATTTACTTTTATTTTCGTTCTCAATGTGTTTGTTGTTTTCATTTCTGCATTGATTTTTTTCTGTGAAAAACAAACTAATTTAGATCTAAAATAGTGACAAGTTCAATGAAATCAGAACCGAGAATTGTCATCTTTAATGATAAAAATGAAATGATAATTAATATAATGGTAAGTTGATGATTAAAGCCAACTCTTACTTTTTGATAACATGAATTTGTTGAAAGACTAACACTGTGACGCTGCATCGTGAGCTCCTTCTGATTTCGGAATTATGAAGACTTGATTGACTTCAAAACAAGTTCTTCATGAATGAATGGATAGCTGAAAGAACCATTGAAAATCAAAACGTAGCGGGAACTTGCTTTCTTCGACTACGCGACTGTGAATCCATCATGATCATCAAGCCGGTGGGTCGGAATTCAATGAACTTTGAATTATGACTTCTGTTAATTCGTGGTCTATCTCCGAAGTCAGGCAATTTTATCACTGAATGGCAATCTGACCATCTTACCTAGTGACTGAATGTTAATACGCTGTCTTGGTTATGCACTCGCCTTCCTGTCGAGTCTCAGATAATAAAGAAACAATTATCTACTAATGCCTTTTGCATCTCATCGACTCTTCTAGCTGATGTCGATTCCTGTCATAACTTCCTTTAGATTCTCAACTCATAGAATAAATTAGTTTAGGTGACTGAACGATTTCTTTTCGAAAGATTCCTTCCTGAATGTTATAGTTAGTTAACACAGATTACATCATGAATGTTTCAGCTTCGATTATTATTATTATTATTACTTTTCCTAATGTCAACTCTATCTTATTGTCTTTCATCGTATCTTCCCGCGTTTTGTATATTTCAGCTATCTGAATCAAATTTAAGTGTTACTGCGTATTGTGTAACTTCAGCATATTTTGATAATCAAGCATCCTTATCTGTAAACTTGTTGTTAGCAACATCTGACGGTGTTTTACGTCTAATTAAATGTTCTACAAGTGACTACAATCAATCAGGTGAAGGTGAATGGGAACAGGTAAGTATATTTTATTTGTTATATATGCTGATTTTTTATTATTCAGTAAGTAATACTACTTTATTCAACTTTTCTTTTGGATTTTGTTGTTGAGTTCTCTAAACTAAGTGGTTTGATTACGAAGCTTCCGTTCTCCTTCCAGGCCAAATCGTCAGCGCTAACTTCAATAATTTCGCAGTTTGTAGTGGTTGTACACCAGGATTACTAGCTAGTGATTAAAGATTAATTCCTTATTTTCTGAAAGTCACAAAAGCTTTCTGTCAATCTGTTTACTCAATGAGAAGTATTCATAGGACGTACTAACATTCTCACTGAGATATATCCCTTTCACTGTATACCCGGACTATGAGTTTATAGGAATATATATAATTCCCATACAAAAAAGTTTGTTTTATTCCAAAGGTGCACTTAAAAATTAGTCAGTTGAAGTAACCTCTGTAAAAATTAAGATGGTTTACTCTATTTATAGAATATATTTCTGATTATTATCGTGTCTCCCTTTTTGTCTTCAACTTACTTTCTATATGTCAGATGAATTATTCCTTTTCCAACGAAAATATAAGAGAGTAGACTGGGAACAGAGTGAAAAAGAGATGAGAGTATATGTGGAAATTTTTAGTCAAGATAAGCGAAAGTCTAGATAGATATGAAGGATTAAGTCAGTCCCCAGTGGTAATCAGTTAATTGACACACGTATACACACATAAACTACTTCCTAGTCTTCTCTAGATTTCAGATCTTTTACACTGCTTTTAAAAAATGGTTAATATTAGTTTAGAACGATGACTTCCTTTTAGATCCCATTCTGAAATTCATCTTTAAACGTTGTTGCACAATCATTTGTTTGTAACTCTGTTTCGACTTTTCCGCTGATTGACAGGACCAAAGTGTTTAACCTATGTTGACATTTGGGCTTCCACTACGGATGATTCGACGATTCCTGAGGATTAACTCAAGACAATTTGATGGATGGTGACTAGCAGTGGAATCTAGGATGCTCATTTCACCCTCTCCCCCAGTCACTAGCAGGATGTACCTGCATTCACCAGTCAATGACTGTGTCTCAATTCAAACTCGAACTCAATACCCATCTTTTCAAACATCAAGGCGTTATCCTCTAGGCCATCCACTAAATTACTCGAAATTGTCACACAACTACGAAAATGTAGTGTAGAATAGATAAGTGAGTCAAGGAGTTACTACTCCTCGTTATTCCATACAAATGGTGGCCATTATAAGAAAAATATAAAATTTTCTTACAAAAATGCTTGATAACACTTGAAGTTGAATGTATTTTCAAGTTTCAAAATGGTCTACGAGCTAGCTCACCTTGTAACCAGAACGTCCGGGGTTGGAACAACGTCGGAAGGTGTCTACTGATGAAGAGCCCCAAACTAGGAACGAGGAAACAGCTGGCTGTCCAGCACTCCCAGGTTTTCCAATTGTTTTCGAACTAATGTCAGTTCATGATGAAATCCTGAAATCAATCAACTAAATCCCTACAAACCAACACTTGAATATCTTCAAATAATTGGTAATATCAACAAAGATTGGCATCCACTATCAGTATCTGCCATTTAACATCAACACGTTTTTCAGCATATAAGCGAAGGTATCAGTGGATATCCTACTGTAAATGCGGCTGTAATTCCTTTTACAGCGAATATCAACTTGGTATTCATAGGCGTTTCTTTTCAGCACATTTTCAAGATCATTTTATGGATCATCATTGAACAAAGCTTGGAATGGCAGTCTCCTATCCACCTCACTCAACTTCATCGACTTTGAAAAGGCCTTCGACAGCGTCGATCGAGTGGTCATTTGGCAACCACTTCGCTACTACGGGGTCCCATCGACAATTATACATCTCATCCAACAGTTATACGACAATGCTGCATGCCAAATAATCCACAACGGGAAACTTATGGAAGCCTTCGAAGTGAGGACGGGAGTGAGACAAGCTGGCTGTCTGCTATTGCCAATGATTTTCCTGATTGCGGTAGATTGTATAATGTGACAGACAACGGGAAATGAGGAAACAGGCATAAAATGGACTCACACAAAAAAACTTGGAGGATCTGGACTTCGCCGATGATATATGTCTGATTTCCCACAAACTGGAAGATATGCAAGTGAAAAGCAAAAAGTTGGTAGAAGAAGCATCCATGAAGGACAGGCCTTCAGGTGAACATAGATAAAATAGAGGTGATGAAGATTCCTGGCCAACACCATCAACAGCCACAGCAGCAACAACAGACAACAATCAGCCAGAATAAATGAGAGGAACCTGAAAGAAACAACCTCCTTCACCTACCCACCTACCTGGGAAGCATCGTTTCAACTACAGGTGGAAATGACGAGGATATCAAAGAAGCGAGGATCGGAAAAGCAAGACAAGCTTTCATTACTCCCAAGTGTGAGTGAAGGTCAGCAGCACTCAGAATCAAAAATAAGATCCAGATCTTCAACTCCAATGTGAAGTCAGTGCTACTCACTATACGGATCAGAGACTTGCACTGCGCGTCATAAAGAGCATCTCAAACAAACTTCAGACCTTCATCAACAGCTGTCTTCGCTCAATACTTCGCTCAAGATCAGATGGCCGGCCAGAAAAGATCAGAAACAGGGATCTCTGGGAATGAGCGAACCAACACAGCAGGAACCGATTGTGAAACAAATAGGCAGGAAGAAATGGAGATGGATTGGCTGGCCATACTCTGAGGAAACCATCAAGTGACATCACTAGACAGGCCATCACTCGAGTGGAACCCGACCGGGAAGCGGCGAGTTGGTCGTCAGTTCGTGGGTTACTTGGAGGAGGTCATGTGAAGAGGAGATGAAAGCATGTGGGCAGACTTGGAGCGGTGTGAAAAAGTTGGCAGAAAACCGAAGGCAATGGAGACGTTTAGCTGAAGCCCTATGTTCCTCTAGGAATTAAAGGATAAAATGATAATAATAATAATAATAATAATAATACATTTTCAAGAGAATACAAACTTACAAAGTAAGTGGTCGTTTTAGATAAACTACTTTCATTCGATTTTATAATCGAAAAACTCAGCCTTTCCGGATACGTTTTATAGTTATTTAGTCATGATTACTTTACTGTGTTTTGTCTTTCGAAACTATTCCCAGTTAATTACTTAACTTTATTTTCAATAATGTTGTTGTTTTTCAGATTAGAATTTATCCAACAGGTGAACAAGTCACGAAACTACTTGCAATAAACTCGAATCCGTTAACAATCATGTGTGGACATCATTGTGGTGAAATCAACTTCTATACAATACTATAATGATGATGTCTCTGTGTTATTCATTACACGTAAACATATCATCCCAACTACGGCCTAACTTTCAACTTATCTTCATAGTAAACTAACTTTTATAAATCCACTTTCTTTTACACTTAATCACGGTATATGTATTCAATAAATATTTCTTTTTTATTATTGCATTAAATAAGCAAAGTCTCTGTATTTAGTGGGTTGATAATTGAAGTATTGAGTTTGGAGACGTGAATGATGGATAGTAAGATACGAAATAATTGGGCGTCTTCAGTTTTACATTTCTTTCCGATGGTTCTCTAACCTATTTCAATCTTAAAGTTTATCGAATTCCCCATAGTCAAGAAAGAAATGTATTGACAAATAGTGTAAATTAAACGTCGATTTTGAATAATCTAGTAGATAAAAGGTATTATCGAATGAATGAATGAATGAATGGTACTGTTTTCAATAATATCCTATTTAACCGCCTTTGCAGTACTCACTACTTCTATATACAGATATCATACTTAAACAAGCAGTAATGATTTATTGCTCATTGATAACTGGGACGTAGATAATGTAGTACGTAAGAAGAAGAAGAGGGAGAAGACAAGGACCACGACGAAGTAGGATTGCAATCGTTGTATAAATCTAGCCCCGATGCGCATAGGTTAGACCTATCTGAATAAAAATTAATCAGAATATTTAATATTATGGAGAGTGCTACTGACAGGCTTTGCAAGTAGTATAAAAGATAGACACAAACATAAGTCATCTGCAAAAATAATCAGTAGCGGAGGCGCGGATTTGATGGTGAAAAGAAGAAGTGAACGATTCGTATGAAACAGCGTTAGGAAACATGAAAGGAAGACAAAAGAAGCATAATACGGAGGAGGATATGTGTTGATTGTGATTTTAATCTAAGGTATATACATGTTTTATTCATACACCTGTACACGGAGTTGTCCATGAAATAAATTCCGTTACCAAATACGAGGTGTTCTCCCGTTACAATATATTACCTACATACTTTACGAACAATAATAAGATATGCAATATTAAATGGCTTGTGCCTTGAAGCTGAAGTATGTAAGAGATAAAATATTGAGACTGAGACATTTTACACAGACACAATAATGAATTCCTTCTCGTTGAGTTTTCACAAGATTATAAGCATCGTAACACAGACCATCATTGTAAATGCCTTCTACATGGATCCTGAATCAAAGTGTCTTATTGATTTTTCAACAATACAAACCAAACGCTGGAGTTATGCGTCAAATCTAAAATTAAAAGAAAAACACGTAGTTCAGCAAAGAGTCTCTTTTCATTCACTTATCTGTATAATCGCAATTACATTTACTTATTGTGTGTGTGTGTGTGTGTACACATTACATTTGTCCGATAAGAATAAAAATTAGCTAGGGTCATTACTGTCAGGACATTTCAAAAATGTGATGAGTAGTCAAACTGTAACTAGGGGAGTAAAAACAAAAAAACATCGTTGTTAATTTTAATCAACACATAAGAGAAGTTGAATATGCGTAATGCGCTTAAGTGATAACATTAATAGTTTCATGGGTGATTAGGATGCACACAGAAACAAAGGAAAATACATGAAATTATGTAAGAGTTCGAAAATTACAAATGTTATAAGGAGTGAGGAGAAAAAACAAGCACATAAACATCAAGTCAGGAGTCATTACGGTGTCTACCATGAGAGTAGAAGTGGTTGGATGATTTTCTTTTGTATGAATAACTCTGGTTTTCACAAATGAATGGTCATGGTTTCAACGACACAAAGGATATGAAAGCGTATTGCCTTTGGTAGGTCAATCTTCACTTTGTAGATCACTTTGAAGGAGGCGTTTGTTCAGATGGAATGACTAGTGTTGACGAGATGTGCGATTATAAAACTCCTTATACAGCCACTATTGCCTTTTTGAAACCATGTGGGATAGTCTTCTTGAACCCTTTTGAATAGGATATGCGTCGAACGACCAATGTACTTGGCTCCACACCAAGAGCTGAACTGATAATCTACACATGGAAGTGGCCAGGTGAGATATCTTGTCCATAAGGCTTCTACAGATCAATGGACGACTGGTCAATATTACTCTTAGCGTTACTGCAAAGAATGTTCTTTCCTTGAGGATGACGCAAGCTATATCTGCCTTGAAATCCAGATTCATGCAAAGTATCTTTTTTGAAACAAGTCATGTTCCGTTCCTCTAGACTTTTGGTTTGATATTCTAGTCGATGAATCTTGTTGGGTATCCATTTTGGATGAAGGTTTCTTTCTGAAGACCCAGTTCAGACTCCAGGGCGTCAGGAAAGCAGATTCGTCGGATCCGGGTGGCAAGGGATTTAAACAAATTTCGTTTTCGCTTAATAGGTGACCAAAAGTAGAAACTCATGGTTGACCGTTTCAAGTGGGTTTTCTATGGATTGACCTTCTGGAGGTTCCGTCATGTCTTCTTGGTAGTAGCAAATCAATAAAGTCAATTTCGCATTATGGGTAAATTTTGTTTTGATAAAGTCTCTCAGTGTCATACAGTAATGTTTACTGATGACGTTTCGAGCACAATTTATTGCTCATAATCATATCAAGGTAATCACACGACTTCCCAAATTCATATATATATATATATATATATATATGAGCAATAAATTGTGCTCAAAACGTCATCAGTAAACACTACTAAATATCACTGTGAGACATTATCAAAACAAAAATTTACCCATAATGGAATTACACTCTATCCCAATGCACAAGTTTTATTCTTACATCAATGATACTTATGGTCTTCCTACTAGGAAGCTTATCAACAAACTCACACGACTTAGTCAGACTGAAGCAAGATTTACAAATCATCGGATTTTTAACAGTCGATGTTTAAAAAGCCATATAATTCCAAAATATTTACGTCTACGTACTCCAATTACTTCAAACAAAGTAATATCCGCCGCAGAACATGTCAGTAAATTATGTCTAAGAGAAGAATTACATCGAGTTACTGTGATACTAAATAATATACGAAATCAAATTGAAAAACTCAAACACAAACTCAAATATATGGTCAATGACAAAGATTATGTAATTCTTGTTGAAACATCCAAGAAAGCTAGAGAATCCGCATTAAGAAAATCAAAAATCACACAAATCAAAAAATTCAACAAACTAATGGAAGAAAAGAACACAACAAATGAAATTGATGTCAATGCTTCATCCTCTATCGACAGAACAAAGTGGGTGATCAACCTCTCATCAAGGGAACTAAGCTCTAATGAGATGAAAGTGCTTGAAAAAGGACTCAATTTCAACGTAAACAGTTAATAAATTAAAACCAGATGATGTCATTCCTAACATAGAAGTAGCAATAGGTTCAATAGACAAGACAACAGCAGAAGAGGTTAGAGCACAATGTGCGTTAACCCTGAAAAATCAAACTTAACAAAATCGGAAAAAGAAGCTTTAATTAGTCTAAAACAGGATAAAAATATTGTCATCGCATAAGTTGACAAAGGAAACGCCACCGTAGTTTTGAATAAATATGGCCATATCAAAAAAGTTATTGAACATATTCAAACGGGTCCATATGAGGAAATTAAGAAGCCTGTAGATGCAATAATGAATAAGGTTAAGAAATCTACAGCAGAACTAATACACAGAATGAAGCCATCACTGGGTGAGTCTGAATGGTTTAATTTAATGCCTAAAACTAATAATGCTGGCAGAATATATGGTACATAAGCCAGGTTACCCCATAAGACCAATAGTAGATTTTAGAAATACCCCTACTTATGAATTATCGAAACACTTAGCTCTAATACTATGCCACATTAGAAATCGTTCAAAGTCTAGATTAACTAATTCATATGAGATGAAAAATAAAATAAATGACATTCAATTAGCGAATGATGAAACAATGGTTAGTTTTGATATAACTAGTCTTTATACTAATATACCGACCAATATGGTCTTAGAAGCAGTTAAAAAAGAACTAACTGCGGATCCTGAACTCAGTCATAGAACAAAGCTGCCCATTGAAGAAATTATTATAGGGATTCAGTTATGCCTCACATCTACTAACTTTAAGTTCCAAGGCAAAATATTTAGAAAAACAGTAGGTGAAGCAATGGGATCACCAATATCCCCTATCGTAGCAGACACATTTATGGACAGCTGGGAAAATAGTACCCTCAATACATTTAATCCTACTCGAAAAATATGGTGGCTGGAGATATGTGGATGACACTTTCACAGTGTTAAAAACAGAACATATCTCTAGCCTCTTCACACACACATAAACTCACTAGTAGAGGGAATAAAATTCACATTCGAATCAGAAAATGAACAAGGAGAATTAGCTATGTTAGATTGTAAAATAAAACGAATAGAAGAAGGCAAACTACACACTAGTGTTTATAGAAAACCAACTCATTCTAATAAATATTTAGACTTTAATTCGTCTCATCCGTTAACAGTCTGTGAAGGCAAGCTTAGTGAAGTGTTTAACAAACCGAGCCATAGGAATAAGTAGCACAAGAAAAGACCTAAATGACGAAATAAAACAGATAGAAGAAGCGTTGGTGTTGAATAACTAACTATCCTATAAAATTCATTAGCAATATCAAGAATGGTGAAATGCAAGGTAGAAATTATGGTGAAACAAATTAATGATAAGATAAATAAAAGAGAATATAAGGCATCTACATTAATTTTACCATATAAGGAGGGGACATCTGAGGCCCTACGTAGGATTCTCACTAAAGCAGGAATTAGACTGAGTGGCATTAGTCTGAACCTACAAACTCACTCAGACAGGACAAGCTCTGTAGGTTAAAGGACTCTGTAGGTTGACCCATTTAGACAAAATAATATTATTTACAAAATACCCTACAATGACTGTGAGTCAGGTCAACTACATAGGTCGAACTGGTAGGTGAGGGGTAGTCAGATTGTCGGAACACAAGGATTTAGCTAAGGTAAGAATGGTTGACCCGAGAAGATAAGTAATTTAGAA